GTGCTAATATGGGGAGTTCTATATTCTACAGCAATGTACTCACATCCACAACAAACAAATAACAGTGTCTTGAATGTGACTCCACTAAAAAAAACAAACAACAAAATAGGAATACAAAGAGTTAACTACATAGTAAAGAGATGTGTGCAAAGAAATTCATAGTGCATTATCCTCTCCCCGAAACAAAGCCCTTCTTAAACAATGGCACATTTTGTTAGTTACTCCGGTTTACTGTTCAAATGCAGCCATTCGGTTTTAGTTTCATGAGCAGAGCGACGTTTTCTACAAGGTATGAGGAAATAGACTCACACTATAAGCTAGTAACGTGAAAAGCAAATCTAAAAAAAAAAAAGGAAATAAGAAAACAATCCTTAAAATTGGAATGTTTAAATAATAATAATAATAAAATGAATGTTTATATGGTTAGAAAACCTGCAAGGAATTTAAGGAAGTATCCAAACATTTGTCAATAATGTCAGCATAGGCACTTTCATTTTGATAAAGTGTTTGAAATGCAATGCTTGAGAGTTACCTCATATCCTTATACAAACCATAGACATCAGTAAAGATACATCAGGGTAGGTGGGATACTATAACAACATTTAGCATATTGTTATACTATTCCACCCACCTTAATGAGGATCCTTTAGGTGTGGCGATGCCGTAGCCCTTGGAATCCAAATTCCCACCAACTTTCATGGTATCACAGGGTTTCCTTTGTTCGATGTACTCATTCATGGTTGACTCCAGCAAGTAGGCATATTTTCCTTTGGACTTCCGTACTCGAGCTACCCCTTCTGCTGTAGTCCTCACAAACACAGATGGTTCTGCACTTTTCATATAGGTCCACATTTTATCAAACACTGCAATTTTAGATCTCTGTGGAGACAATATGAAGCCTAATTAACTAATCTTTACGTAGACAGCAAAAGCACACCTGGGAAAATATGACCATGTCATTTTTAGGCAAGTTTATTACCCAGTGTTGAAAGATAGCAGCACCTACATTCTCTTTTTCCATTAATATTATGCTGCATTGTATATATGGGGGTTTGCATTTGTTATATTTGTTAAAGATTTGAAGCAAACAGTGCCACTTCCACGTTATAAGCGGTGTGCCAGATTAAAAGATAAGATCTATATTCAAACTTCAGCAAAATATTCATCAGAAATTCCCGCTCAAACAAGATGATCTTCTTTTTTTGCAGCTCTCTGCAGCTGTGCGTTACGCAAACGAGAAGGGAGCTGAAAGGTGTCAGCGGCACTAGAAAACTTCAGATTGCTCCACAGAGGAAACTAACATTGCTGTGAAACCTGAAGGGAACGTTAATCGCGAGGCACCTGTTCCAAGGCTGTTCTTATTCGTAATACTCCGCGTGCCTCACCGACTCAACTCAGCAGGTCGGAGATTTCTTTCAGAAAGACTGTTACCTGAAATACGTTTCTTTTGCTGTAACCAGTTGGTAGTTATAACTATAACTGGCAGTTTTAACTACCAACTGATTGTTATTTTTTAACCTGGGAAAAAAACAGAGGAAAACAAAGTTTGCCACCTAGATGTCAACAGAAAGGAAGCAGTGTTATCGGAGAAACAGCAGGCAGAATGGGACATACGACAAGTCAGGGCCAGTAACAATCACCCGTATGGGAAGCTGGATTTCTCATAGTGTCACATACCGTACAATACTCGTGAAGAATTAAGAAAGCATACGTTTATATCATCTACTCCTTTGTAAGCTGGGTAGAAAACCTAAATGTGCTGACATTTCACATTCTACATTGCCTGATCAAGCTATCTGCAGAACTACCAGGGTAGCTGATAATCAACCCTACGTGAATTTCTTAAAAAGACAACCTAAATCATTGTATGAAGTAGACAATAAACTACTGCCAAATTTAATACTACGTTGCATGTAACTCACCTACTATTACATTTCTACTTCGCTGTAGAAAACTAAGACCATTTGGGTTTGTATTTATCTTAGATATCTGCCAGACATTATTATTATTATATGTGCAAGTATAACAAATCTGTACTATGATAAAATGTATTAGAAGCACTTCTCCACTAGACGCCACTTGTAACATACACTTCTGCTGTTCTGCTCTAAATACAACATCTATAATCATACCATTTTAAAAATAAATGAATCAAGTATAAAAGCATCAGTAATGCCCTCATGTTTCCCACTGCTTCACTCATCTTGTAGTACAGCATTATCATTTTCCCAGACCTACCCTTATTTTCTTGTTCAGAAGCATAGTCTAGGAAGATTTTGAGATTTCTCCATGGTCTCTGTACGTCTGCTAGTATTAAAAGTTCTGGCAGTACTAAGAACCATTGAAAGTTTTCTAACAACTAAATATTCCAACTATTCCTGGAATCTCCATGTACATCGGCACAGATGGCTTTTTGACAGTTCCCTTGCAGATCAGTTGTTGCATACTCTGATCTGTTGATCTACACGTACTCAGTATACACATTAGTATCAAAAGAGTTGGATATACTCAGCATGACCAGAATGACTAAGAAAAATAACTGTGCACTGAAGGCACAGTGGGTTTCTCAGATTCTTGGAGCATCTGCCTTGTTGCGTATGCACTGTTCTTGTTCCACCCAAGAAGATCCTAAAAAACATGATCCTAATAACTACAGGAATCCTAAAAAATGGTATACTGCACCATCTCTGAAAAGCCAGTTCATGAAGTAAACTAACACTGTGTGCTATAAGCCAACAGTAAAAATCCAATATTGCACTTTCTCTGCCTGTAATTTACCTGATAAATAGACAGATACAGGTAAGTGCCTCTAACAGACAGCAAATGGCATTCCATGCCTGAGACTCCCACCCGCAGATGCCAGTCAGACCATTTAAGGTCTGAGAGACTCCATCAACCACACCAGAACATACAAAGAAAGTCTAGATCCTAAGTATATAGCTTTCTATCATCTGTTCCCCAAGTCCTGCTGCTGTTGCTCACTTCTCTGGAAGCAGAGTTACCAGTGTTCAGCTCTGCAGGGTGCTCAATCTCCTCCTTCCTTAGCCCACTCAGTCCTGGACTCCGAAGTCCCCAGCCTCATATGAAGGAGCTCAGTTTTCCCTGAAATCTCATCCTCTAAAGTTACTCTCTAAATAAACCCAGATGCTCCATCCCATTCCTACCATAGCTCACCATTCATTTGGCAGCATACATCCAACTTGCTGTGTGGGATTTACCATTACAAACAAAGCAAGGGTCATCAAGTTTCCAACAGTGCTATAAAAATGATTACAGTGATACTTCATTAATTACCCATAGGTTCTCTTTATAAAGGAGGAAACTTCAAGTTGTTTTAGAGCTGTCTTACATGGTTCAGTTCAACCCAAAGCAGACAACACACGTCCAGGTGCCCATCTAACTCATTAGAAGGCATTTGGCTCCGATGTTGTAGAAAAGAAGAGGGTATGCTGACACTATTTTCTTCTTGTACATACATTCAAATACTACATAAATAAGCAATCTTTATTCCAGTTAGGTAACTGTCATGAACAGGTTCATAAACTGACCTAATTGTCTTTTGTTATTCCATTGTTTCCTGGTTTATTAAAATTACCTTTTACAGGTTTTGTCATGCATCACGCAACAGGGCTCTAGCAAGGTCTGTTCTGTTTTTGCCATTCAGCCTCAATAAAATGCAGCTCCTAATTTCTCACTGTCACTTCACAGAAATCTGATCACAACTGGTATGTGGGAAGGGTGAGAGAAATCCCATGGCAGACTTGAGGGGCTGGTGCTGGATGGCTGAATGGGAAAAGGCGCAAGGAACACATTTCCCAAATGGTCCCACTAGATGGCTCACAGGGTCCTTGCCATATAAATGAATGTCGGAATACCTGACCCAGTAACCATGGAAATAAAAATCTGTAATGAAAAACATCACCAGAAAACAGCACTCAGAATTTGCCATGACCACACAGTGTCCTCTGCAGCCATGAACACTGGGAAAACAACACACTGGAATTATGACAACTCAGTCTTGATCTCTACCTAGTCCTTGACCTAGTCTAGACTCATGAAAGATAAGAGCAGCAACGAGCCACTACCTAGGGGATACTTGTGACTTCTAAGGTTTTTGTTTATATTGCTACACAATGTATTTAGTAATACATTCTGTTTTCAGAACTGTGTAATTTTATTTCCTTCATTATTTTGTTTTCAGAATTTGTCTTTTATTTGAAAGGTAGAGTGAAAAGATGTAGAAAAGGGCAGTGTTAAGAGGCCTTTATCTAGCGTTCTCTTCACACACACACACACTCGCTCATAAAGCCAACGCTATCTGATAGTTAAAAAAAAGGCATGTACACTTATCCTAATTCAAATACATTCTGAAAAAAAAAAGCGCACATTACCTTCTTACTTAAATTTGGCCACTGTTATCTATAGCTGACCATAATTTATTTCCACGCAAATGATCTTCTTTTCCTTTAACTGCATTTGGGAAACCATGCAATCATCAGCAACAGTGGTCTAAACCACGAGGAAAGAGAATTCTTGTGAACGCAGGATGCCTTGTGTGCAGCCTGGGCTTTCACATCTCTTCCTTATATGCTCCTTCTTTAATGGCTCCTAAATCTAAATGGACAGCAGCGCTCTATAAAAACACCCCACAACTTTTTATCATGCAATCCAAACAATGGAACCATTGTAGGCTGCTGTATTATTTGACTACAAGAATATGGAAATAATCTGCACTGCTCTTAATTACTGTGGTTCATTGGTATTGCACGATGACACTCCAGTGTATACATGAAATGTCAGAAGCTAATGATAACTTTGGTATTACGATCAACACCAACAGGACAGTACAGGACCCTAATATTCCCCAGTACTTACCACTTCCATGAAAATATAATAACTGATACAAAACCACCCCAGAAGCTACACCTTTTTGTTTAGTATCATGTCACTACTGGGCATCATGACTATGAAAATTATTATTATTATTATTACAAAGTACACATGCCATTAAAATGTAAAATACTGCCTTCATTAAGAAACTCATTAGGAAATTAAATTGTGCAAAGCTTTATCAAATTAATTAACTGTATTTTGTGGGTCATCAGATAACTTTTCCATTCTGTCATTCAAAGACCTATTATTCTTAAAATGGGGTGCTGTAATTAGGATGCCATTGACAGAAATAGCTCCTCACACTACAACATCCTACTAGACAATGATCTTGTATTGCAGGAGCACAACTTCAATTCTCAAATGTGGTTTGTGCAACAATCTTGTTGACCTTTCATACATTCCTGTCAAACCTAAAAAGCAAAACCCATACTCTCCAATCATATCTCCTTCAGTGATTTATTAAATGCCAGTCCTATAGTCCCTGCCTCTTAACATACTGAGTAGAGTCTGAGGTAAAAGTCAGAGATACTGCAGCTGAGTCTTTTGCCTCCTTTGCTTCTCGAAGCTTCTGTGGAGCTAGTCAAAATTTAACTCTGGAAATGTATGTTCTATAATCCTTCTACATCTCAGAATTAAAAATTGAGGCTGAGGTATGATTCATAGTTTTCTACCTCAATTCCATTTAAAAAAAATCAGACTGTTTCTTCTCCGCTCACTGGTTTCAGAGATTTCCTGTGGGGTTTTTTTGTTTTTTTTTTTTTTTAGAAGCTTGAATATCTTGATAAGCATAAAGACAGATTAAGGTTCATAGACAGTCTGCTGTATGCTCTCTCTCTTTTTGCATAACGTCTTGTAACACAATCACCAATTTAAATACCTTTATAACTTAAAAAAATATTTCAAGATACTTATAAATCTAGAGGCACTAGACCGTGTTGAAGATCCTCAGAAAAGACAGCAATACTTATCTTCAGGCCAAATTTGCC